AAGGGGTGCCGCTCGCAGCCCCCCCCCGTGGGCGCTGCCCTGGGGTCGGGGGGCTCGTCGGGGATGGGGATGGTGGGCGCTGTAGCTCTTGGGGTGCGGCGGGAGGTTGGGGTGGGAGGGCTTCGCCGCGGTCCCGAGGTCCTCGCTGGGAGCTGGAGGGGTGCGTGTTACCTGGCCCCGGGTGGGCGCCGTGACCCCCCGGCCCGGGTTGTGCATGGTAGCCGAGGTCTTTTATGGTGGCCTTGCGGCGCTTGCCGTGGCCGAGGTTCTTGATGTGGTCGCAGGTTCCTCGTGGGGAGCTTGGGGGTCTTCTTCGCCGTGGCTGAGGTCTCTAGGGTGGCCAAGGTCTTTGCCGTGGTCCCGGGGTGCTCGCTGGGAGCTCCAGATGTGCACCACAGCTCGGGTCTTCACCGTGGCCAAGGTCTTTGCCACGGCCCCAGGGTCCTCATGGGGGGCTTGAGGTGTTCGCTGTGGCCAAGGCCTTCGGCACGGCCGAGGCCTTTGCCACATCCCCGAGATCCTCGTGGGGATCTTCAGGTGTTCACCGTGGCCAAGGCCTTCTCCACGGTCTGTGTCGTGGCCTTGCAACACTTGCCGTGGCCTCCATCATTGCCATGGTGCCAAGACCCTCACTGGGAGCTCAAGGTGCTCACCTCAAGGCCAGGGCCTTCCGTAATACCCGTGCTGTGGCCTTGAGGCTCTCACCATGGCTCTGGGCTTCACCACGACCCCAGGGTCCTCACCGGGAACCTGAGGTGCTCACTGCGCTCTTGAGGTTCTCACCGTGGCCAAGACCCTTGCCAAGGCCAGCCTTGACTGAGGTCTTCACCATGGCCTTGAGGTGCTCACCTTTGCGTGGCCCAGTGACCCGTCCTTAAGGTCACGGTCAGTGCCATGGCCCCGAGGCCCTTGCTGGGAACCTCAAGTTGCTCATCATGTCCGAGGCTTTCCCCGTCACGGTCAGCATTGCCATGAGACCCTCACCGTGGCCGTGAGGTGCCCCCCACCACCCTCAGCCTGGCCCTGAGGTGCTCCTCGGCACCCTCGGAGGCACCCGCAGCACGTGCCGTGGCCGAGGCGCTCACCACGACCCCTCACCGCGGCCCCAGCGCTCTCCACGGCCGCGTCCCTCTCCGTGGCCCCCGTGGCAGCTGGCTGGGGGCTCCCGGGTGCCTCCGCTTGGAGAGAGCCGGGGGCTCCCTCGCCGTCACCCCGCGCTGCCACCACCCACCGCTGCCCTTTCCTTTTCTCCCCTCCCAGGTGCTCCCGAGCCGGGGCGAGGGGATGCGGTGCGCCCGTGCCGCGTGCTGCGCCGAAGCGGCTCTTTAGATCCTCCCCGGCCCAAGCCTCCCATGCCATGGATGCCTCCGGGGCTCTTGCTTCGGCTCCCTCCTCCGCGGCTCCCTCGGGCTCCCGCAGCCCCATGTTCCCCCCCGGAGCTGACAGAGAGGAGTGGGGACCGAGGTTCAATTGTGCCCCTTCCACCTCTGCCGCAGCCTCGCAGGCGATGCCAGCGTCTGGCCGGAAGAGGAAGGCCAACTTCTCCAATGACGAGACCGAGACGCTGGTCTGGAATGTGGTCCGGCATTTCAGCGCCCTGTACGGGTCCGAGGCCCTGCGGGCTCACCCCGTGCGGCGGAAGCAGCTCTGGACCCAAATCCAAAGCCGCGTCAACTTCCTGGGCTACACCGAGCGCTCCATCGACGACCTCAAGCACAAGTGGCGCGACCTGCGGCTGGACGTCAAGAAGAAGATCACCTCCAAGAAGCACCTGCCCATGAACCGCGCCGGGGGGCCGCTCCACAAGCCGCGCCTCACGCCCCTGGAGAAGATGGTGGCCTCCACCTTCCTGCAGGCCAGCCACGACTCGGAGCCCGAGATCATCCTGGACCCAGGTCAGTGGTGCCGGGGCTCCGGGCAGAGGGGGGTTTGGAGTGTTCCCGCTGTGCTCTCCGAGGGATGTCTGGTGTTTGCCGGGTGTTGGTGTTCCGTGATGGATTCTGGAAGGAGACTTGGGGGTTTGCGTTGGGATTATGGCATCCAGCAGAGCCGTGGGCCTGTTGTGCCCAAGTGCCGAACTGCCGGGGTTGGGAGCTGTGTGCGCTGGGATTAACAACCCACTGTGGAAATAACCTGGGATCAGCGAGTCACAGAAGCCATGGGATGGTTTGGGTTGGAAGGGGCCTTAAAGCTCATCTTATTCCAGCCTCCTGGCACTGATCAGGGATACCTTCCTCTATCCCAGGTTGCCCTAAGCCCTGTCCAACTTGGCTTTGGACACTTCCAGGGATGGGGCAGCCACAGCTTCTCTGGGCAACCTGTGCCCAGATCAACAGGATCAACAGGAGTATCTCAAACTTTGCAGAAGCGGGTCTTTTTTTGTTCTTCTTTCTTTAATTTGGTGTTCTTTGATCCCAGTGTGGCCCCTCTGATTTCACTGGGGGCATTTCAGGGCTTGGTCCACGTGGCCCAGACTTGGGTGTCTCTGATCCAGACATGCATCATTTGCTGAGCAGGAGATCTCTAGGCTGATGGAAGTCTTATGGAATGGCTGGAGCTGTGTCAGGGCAGGGTTAGGTTGAATATCAGGAGAAGGTTCTTCCCCCAGAGGGTGGTTGGGCACTGAACAGGCTCCCCGGGGCAGTGGGCACGGCCCCAAGGCTGCCAGAGCTCCAGGAGGGTTTGGACAATGCTCTCAGAGACAGAGTGGGATTGTTGGGGTGTCTGTGCAGGGCCAGGAGTTGGACTGGATAATCCTTGGAGGTCTCTCCCAACTCAGGATATTCCATAATCTGTGATTGTGTGGCATTAAAGGATGCCACCCCTCAGGGTCCAGGATGGTGCTGGGGGAGGTGACGGACCACATGGGACGGCCCTACAGGGCGTCTGTACCTCGGTGCCACCGTGTCCCCCCCTGGGCTGAGGCCAGATCCCATTGTGTCCCACAGATCTGTTCTTCCCTGGCGCGTCCAAGCAGCCCTTCATGCACCTGCAGCCCGGCGTGAGCCACCCCAGCATCTACATCGACACCAACGGGCAGCCCTCGGCCCTGCCGGACATGGAGGGCTCAGCCGCGCCGCGGCTGCCGGGACAGAGCCCCGACCCCGCCGGCAGCACCGACTACGGCCGCGGAGAGGGGCAGGGCGGCTCCGGTACATGGGAACGGGCAGGAGGGGTGTGCTGGGAGCGGGGTTTGGGTGGAGATCCTCTGGGTCGAGATCTGCTGGGTCCAGATGGAGATCCGCTGGGAGAAGAATCTGGATGGAGATCCGCTGGGTCAGGATCCACTGGCAGCAGATTTGGTTGGAGATTTGCTGCCAGTGGAGTCACGATGGAGATCCACCGGGATCTGTGTGTCAGTGAGGGCCCAGGGGCTGGGCCAGCGCTGGGTCTCACCAGAGGTTTCCTCTTCTCTTCCAGCCGAGTCGGGGCCGGAGCTGCGGACTCCAGACGTGTCGGCCATCTCCCCATCCCTGCGGAACGAGTCCCTGGTCTCCTACGCCTCCATGTCGGAGGAGGAGGAACGGGAAGGCCGGGAGGTGGAGCGTGGCCACGGCGGGGCCGTGGGGATGCAGCCGGGGCCCGAGGCCCCCATGTCTGCGGAGGAGGACATGAAGCTGTCCCGCCAGGCCATGCTGATCCGCCGCTGCAGCTCCCAGGGCTCCGTCACCTCCCTGCCCGAGGACTCCCTGAACCCCGCGGACGCTCACTCGGACTGGGGGCACGAGGGGGTGTCCGACCTGCCCGCCCTGGGCCGCGGGATGGACTCGGCGCATCCCGAGGAGCAGGCGGGGGGCCCAGGCCCGGAGATGGGCGCCTTGCCCAGGGTACTGATGGGGCCCACCTGGGAGAAGGCCCCGGCGGACGAGGAGCCCCCGGCCCGTTCCCCGCTCCACGGCGCCCTGACCGAGGAGTCGCTGCCCTCCTCCGCCTCCCCCCCAGGAGACGCCCCGGCCGCCCCCGGCCCCCCGCGCGGGCTGGGCTGCTCCCGGCTGCGCGAGGAGCGCCGGGACAGCTGGAGGACTAGCATCCATCACCTGCTCGACCTGGAGGAGCAGTGGGACCAGCTGTACCACCAGGAGCTGGCCATGTGGCAGGAGGAGCGGGCCACCCAGCGCGAGGAGCGGGCGCGCGACCGGGAGCTGCAGTTCCGCCTGCTCGGCGTCCTCACGGACATCCGGGACGAGCTGCGCTACCTGCGCCAGGAGCGCGCCGGCGCCCGCCAGAGCCCGGCACCACCACCGCCGCCGCCGCCGCCCCCCTCCGAGCCCCGCCGCGACCCCAGCCCGCTCCTCGAGCAGCCCAAAGTCGAGCCTGGCTTCCCGGAGCCGCCGAGCAGCGGCGAGAGCGCCGCGTGGGTGGACGCCGCCGCCGCCGCCGCTGTGCCCAGCCGGAGCCCCTTCAGCGGCCGCGGCCGGGGCCGGCGCCGAGGGCGGCCGCGCGGCTCCGCTTCCAGACACAGACGCCTGTTCCTCACCAACAGCTAGGGACGGGCCGAGCGCCGGCCCGCCAAGGACACACGGTGTGCCCCCCACCGCCCCCCCCGGGGGACGGGACGCTGCCCCGCCGGCCCCGCGGGCAGGTACGGGGTGGGGGGGACACGCGGGTGGCCGGCGCCGCGCGCTCGGGGCGCGCCGGGCACGTGTCCCCCGCACGCGTGTTCGGGCGTGTTCGGGCCCCGAGGTCGCGCCGAGCCCGCGGGGGACACGTGTGCGCGTGGGTGTCGCGACGCCCGTAGTCGAGTAGGATTTACTACCTTTCGGGGGGTTGGGGAGTTTAGGAACACTTAGTCGCTGACTGTGCGAACATTTTATGCAAATCATTTAATGAACTAATTTGCATATAACCATAAAACTTCTGTTAAAAAAAAAAAAGCCTCCAAAAAAAAAAAACGAACGGAAAAGACGGTTTTTTTTTTTTTCGCGTGTGGTCTCTGTGTGTGTGTGGGGGGGGGTTGTTTGTCCCGTGGCCCTGCCTGGCGCGGCCCTGAACGGGGACAGGGACGTGGGACAAATGACTTTGGTGGCTCTGAGCTTCACCCCACTGCTATGGGGGAGCCCAGCAGCCGGGATCAGGCCTGGGGCAGCAGGATCTGGGCTTGGAACTGGGAGCTTTGTCTGCCTGTGTGGACCTGGAGAGGGGTGATGGTGTGTACAGCTTAGGGGGGAGCCTGCAGGGGCAATGTGGAAGGTCCCCAGGAGTGTTTGGGGTCTCCAGGCAATGTGGAGAGTCCTCAGGTGTGTTTAGGGTCCCCAGGAGTGTTTGAGGTCCCCAGGCAGTGAGGATAGGAATGTTTGGCGTCCTCGGCAGTGTTTAGGGTCCCCAGGGACTGTTTGGGGTCCCCAGCAGTGTGTGGGGTCCCCAGCAGTGTTTAGGGTCCCCAGGGACTGTTTGGGGACCCCAGCAGTGTTAGGGGTGCCCAGGTAGCATTTGGGGTCCCCAGTAGTGTGCAGCAGTCCCAGGCAGCCTGCCAGGTCCCCAGGAGTGTGCAGTGTCCCCGGGGAGTTGTCCAAGGTTCCCAGCAGTGTTTGGGGTCCTCAGGCAGTGTAGAGGGTCCCTGGCATCGTGTAAAGACCTCTGGGCAATGTGCAGTGTCCCTAGGGAGTGTCCGAGGTCCCCAGCAGCATGTGGGGTCCCTGAGCATTGTGCAGTGTCCCCCAGCATTGTGCAGTGTCCCCCTGCGGTGTGCAGTGACCCCGGGCACTGTGGAGGGTCCCTGGCATCATGCAAGGTCCCCTGGGCAGTGTGCAGGGTCCCCAGAGAGCGTCCGAGACCCCCACCAGTGTTCCCAGGAGTGTGCAGTGTCCCCATGGATTGTGCAGTGTCCCCTTGGACAAAGTGCAGTGTCCCAAGGGAGTGTCCGAGGTGCCCAGCAGCGAGTGGGGTCCCCAGACACTGTGCAAGGTGCCCAGGGCACGTGCTGGGGCCCCAGGAATGTGCAGGGGACCCTTGGGCAGCGTGTTTGGTCCCCAGGGAATGCGCAGTGTCCCCCCACAGCAGGGTGTAGGGTCTCCAGAAATGTGCAGTGTCCCCGAGCATTGTGCAGGGTCCCCAGCAGTGTCCAGGGTTCCCAGGGCATGTACAGGGTGCCCAGGAATGTGCAGTGTCCCCAAGGATTGTGCAGTGTCCCCAGGGCACCCCAGCCTCACACCCTGTGCCCCTGCCCCCTCCATCCCCAGCCCACATCAGGGTGACAGCACCGCTGAACCCCGAGCCCCTCCTGTGCTGTGTCCCCCCCTCCACCCCCCCAGCACGTGGGGACACCCCAAGTGCCACCTCCTGCTCGCTGGCAGCTCCTGCCCCACCCACGTGGGGTGGGGCAGGTGGGTGCAGCCCCCGGGGAGGGGACAGAGGGGCAGCAGGAGCTGTGGCACTTGCTGGGTCACCCAGCCCTGGTTGGGGCCTCCCAGGGGGACGGGGACACCCAGCTCGGGGACCAGGGGGTGCCTGGGGAAGGGCCACGGCTTCACATGGCTGAGGTGAAAAAATTGGGTGAAATGTCCCCAAAACAAAGGCAGAAGGGACCTGGGGACAGGTCAGTGACAGGGGACAGGAGGGACCTGGGGATAGGTCGGGGATGGAGGACAGAAGTCGGGGTTCAGCCAATTCATGTGATTTGCAGAGGGGTTTAGGGGTGCAGGGAGGGGGATGCTGGGCACGTGCACCAGGGAGACCTCAGGGGCAGCCCAAGAGCCTCGGGAAAGGCAGGAAAAATGAGAAATGTTGGAAAGTGGAGGTGCAGGAAAGGGTTTGAGAAGCGGGGGGGGCTGTGGGGTTCAGGTGCACCAGGAGACTCAGGACACGCTTGGCTCCAGGGCTGGGGTGTGAATGTGTGTGAGCACAGACATGTGAGCACACACAGACACACATGTGAGCACAGAGGCACATGTGAGCACACACAGACACACGTGTGAGCACACAGACGTGCACACACACACAGACACACGTGAGCACACACAGATAACACAGGTGTGAGCACACACAGACAGGTGTGAGCCCAGACACACACGTGAGCACACACAGAGGTGTGTGCACACATAGACACTGCACACACAGACACACATGAGCACACACAGACACACACGTGTGCATACACTCCCTGGAGCAGCATTCCCTGTCCTTCCCTTCCCTTCCCAGCAGTGTCACCCACGGGTGCAGCATCTCCCTGCTCTGGGGGTCTCCACACAGCCCCACCGCAGCCGGTCACACGGGGACATCCAGCAGCCCCCACACCCCCAGCTCCACCATTCCCACATGTCCCGTGTCCCACCACGATATTCCCCCTTCCTTCCCCATCCTGCTGCCGCTGCCTTCCCGGGGTGCAGGACCCCCCGGCCGGGGCGGGAGTGGCCGCAGATCCCGGGGGGACCCCGCGGGGTTTTGGGGTGAAGGCGCTGCAGCCCAGCACGACTTTATTCCGGATCGCTTCGTCCATACAAAACTACACCCCAAGCACTGTACAGCGGGACGGGGGGGCAGTAAAAATAAGCGGCGGGGGCCGGGGGGACAGAGCGGCAGGCGGGGGGTGGCGCGGGGGGGTGGCACGGCGGGGGGGCTGCTCCCCACCCCGTGCGGCGACATTGTCTGTGGGGGGAGCGCTGGGGGCCGAAGTGTCCGTCCACGGCGGGGGGACCGGGGGGTGCGTGACCTCCCTGGGGGTCCCCCCGCGCCCCCCCGCCCCGGCCGGGCACCTCGGTTCGGTCGGAAGCTGCGTGGCCGGTGCCCGTCCCCGTCCCGGGGGGGTGTCAGTCCGCGGCGGGGGGGGGACACCCCTAATCCCCGGGGGGCATGATCCCGGGCGGGGGCAGCGGGGGCGGCCCCGCCTCGGCCCCGTGGACGCGCTGGTGGTCCTTGAGGGACTCCTTGTAGCGGAAGCTGCGGCCGCAGGCCGGGCACTGGTACGGGCGCTCCCCGGTGTGGATGCGCTGGTGCTTGAGCAGGTTCTGCTTGCGGATGAAGCTCTTGCCGCACTGGGCGCAGGCGAAGGGGCGCTCCCCGGTGTGCAGCCGCTGGTGGTTCTGCAGGTGCTCCTTGCGGCTGTAGCACTTGCCGCACTCGGAGCACTTGTAGGGCCGCTCCCCGCGGTGGATCATCTGGTGCCGCACCAGCCCCGAGTGGCAATTGAAGCTCTTGCCGCACTCGGCGCACGGGTAGGGCCGCTCGGCCGCGTGGCTGCGCTGGTGGATCCGCAGGCTCTTCTTCCCGCTGAAGCTCTTCCCGCACTCGGCGCAGCCGTGCGGACGCTCCTCGGCGGGTCCCGGCGGCGCCGCGGGGACCCCCCCGCTCTCGGCGCCCGGGCCCGGCTCGGCGCCCGGAGCTTTGCCCAGTCTGTGCTGCGCCGGCAGAGCCACGGCCGCTGGCACCGCCGCCTGTCCCTCGGGGGTCCCGAAGCCCGCGCCGGGGAAGAGCAGCTCCCCGGAGCCGCCCGGCAAACCCACCTCCTCGGGGGGCTCGGCGTGGGGGCACCGCTCCTCCGTCTTCACCAGCAGCCCCTCGCCGGCTGCGGGGGATGGAAAACGGGTCAGTGACTACCAGGGATGTCCCCAGGTCACAGCCCGGCCCGGTGGGCGGTTCCCCCCTCGCCCCAGCCCCATCCCAGCCCCGTGGTGGGGATCGCTCACCAGGACCAGGACCCGGGGGCAGCATCTCCCTCTCCGGCAGCTCCCAGGGCTCACGGACACAGGGCTCCTCCTCCTGCTTGATCCACGACAAGAAGTCGTGTGCAGTGATCAGGGCGTCCGCGCCTGCAGGGAGGGACGGGATGGGAACAGGGATTCAGCCACGCCGGGCCACATCCTGCTCCAGGAGGATGGGGAGAGAACAGCTCCAACAGGCAGCAGTGCCAGGGTGGCTCAGCCCCGGGCTCACCTGCACAGGGGTCTGGGGGCATCCCCCGCTCCTCCGGGAACTGCTGCTCCCCCACAAAGGCCACCTCCTGCTTGATCCGGGACAGGATGTCGGAGGTGGAGATCAGCGATTCTGTTCACAAGGAGAGACTTGTCCAGGGCCAGGAAGTGGCCACATGGTGTGACCCATGGCCACCAAGGGTGTGTGACCCCTGGGATCCAGCTGAGTGGGACTTCCCCATCCCAAAGCAATTATGGGGCATCCAACACGCCCAGGGAGCTGTGGGGACGGGTGACTGTGGGACAGTCCTTGGGGATGGGTGACCCTGAGATGCCCCATGGGGATGGCTGACCCTGAGACAGACCCTGGGGATAAGTGACTGTGGCACAGCCCCTGGGAACAGATGACTCTGGCACAGCCCATTGGGAACAGGTGACTGTGGCACAGACCATTGGGGATGGGTGACAACGACAGGGCCAATGGGGCTGGGTGACTGTGGGTGACACAGGCTCTGACACAATGTGCTGGCAATGAGGGACACACAGATCTCCCAGTGATGGATATCCAAGACTCCCAGTGCATCAGTCATTGGGATATTCTGGGGTCACTCATGGTAATTCCCAGTCACAGCTGGAAAACTGAGCCCAGCGGGGACAGGACCACTGGGGAAGGAGGAGAGACATCCCTGGGGTGGGCAGGGTGGGGGGACAGGAAGTGGGGCCCAGTGGGGACGGGGTCCTCCTGCCACGCCTCACCTGCGCAGGCGTCCGGCGGCAGCTCCCGCTGCTCCAGCTCCCGCTGCTCGGGAACACAGGGCCCTTCCCCACGCTCGCTGCGGGGCTGAGCCTCGCTCCTGGAGAGGGCACCGTCTGTGGGGACACGGCACTGATGGCACCGGAGCTGTGCCCGGCACACCCTCCCTGTCACCCACACACAGGGGGACAGGCAGGGGACACACCGGGCTGCCAGGCCCCGGCATCCCTCCTGGCACAAACCCTGCCTGAATCCCACAGGATCTCCACATTGGAGGGTCAAGCCCCTGGTTTTTTGGGGACAAGGACCCCCTCCAGCCCCCTGGGGTGGCAGGGGCTGCCCCTCGTGGCATGGCATGGCATGGCATGACACGGCATGACATGTCACCCTGTTCCCATGCACACAGCACAAGCCGTGGAGCATTCCCTCCAAAATGGGTGGTCACAGGGACACAGCGAGTGCCACCGCCCACGCTGGGGACCCTCCAGGGAGACGTCAGCCTGCCAGGAAAGGGACAAAAGGGAATGTTTACCCAGGGAGAGCAAAGCCTCGTAGTTCTCCTTCACCAGGTTGTTGTACAGCTCCTTCTGCCACTCCTCCAGATTCTTCCACTCCTCCGCCGAGAAGTAGACGGCGATGTCAACAAACGTCACCGGCACCTGCGGGGACACGTCCCCGCGGCTCAGCGGCGCCTGCTCCCCAGGGAAACTGAGGGTCCCCCCCTGTCCTGCAGCCCCCCCGGGAGCCCTTACCTTGGGGACCTCGCCCCGGGGGCCGGGGGGCAGCCGCAGCACCCAGAAATTCCTGTTCTTCAGGAGGTTCTCCACGTTCTCCAGGCGCCTCTGGAGCAGCCCGTACTCCTGGATGAGGGTGCCCAGCACGGCCCACTTGCTCTCCAGCTGGTTCCCGAACTCCATGGCCGTCTTCTCGCAGTCCAGGAGCTTCTTCTCGGCCGTGCCGGAGCGGCCCTCCAGGCTGAGCAGGCGGGTGGCCAGGAGGTCGATCTTCCTCTCCATGGCCTGCACCGTGGCCACCACGGTCCAGAGCGAGGCCTCTGCCGAGTGCAGCTGCGCCTCCCGCACGTGCGCCCGCTCCGGCAGCAGCGGCGGCTGCAGCGGCATCAGGTGAGGGGCTTCCATGTTCCACTCCTGCACCTGCGCCGTGGGGAGGGCAC